CCCCCCCACCCACAGGACACCCCCATCCCCACCCTGGAGGTCCCAGGGTCACTGTGTCCCCTCCCCGGGCAGGAGGAGCAGCTGCGTTCCCACGAGGACTGGATGGAGAGGGTGGCCCAGGAGCTGCTGGAGCATCAGAGGAACCTGCCCGGGAAGAGGGGCCGGGAGCTGGAGGAGTATCAGCTGAAGAAGGAGCATCTGCTCTGTGAGGTGGGTGTTGGGGGGAGGTTAAGGGGTTCTTGGTGAGTTGGGGTGAGCCAGGGGGTGTGTGGTGGCGTCTCCAGCTGGTGGCATCTCCATGTGGTGGTTCATGTGCTGGTTCATCTCCATGTGGTTCATCTCCATGTGGTTCATCCCCATGTGGTTTATCTCCATCTGGTGGCATCTCCATGTCATGAGATCTCCATGTGGTGGTTCATGTCCATCTGGTGGCATCTCCATGTGGTTCATCACCATGTGGTGGTTCATGTGGTCGTTCATCTCCACGTGGTGGCATGTCCATGTTGTGAGATCTCCACGTGCTGGTTCATCCCCATGTGGTGGTTCATGTAGTGGTTCATCCCCATGTGGTTCATCCCCATCTGGTGGCATCTCCATCTGGTGGCATCTCCATGTGGTTCATCCCCATGTGGGGGTTCATCTGATGGTTCATCCCCATCTGGTGGCATCTCCATGTGCTGGTTCATCTCCATGTGGTTCATCACCACGTGTTGGTTTATCCCCATGTGGTGGTTCATCCCCATGTGGTTCATCCCCATCTGGTGGCATCTCCACATGGTGGTTCATCTCCATGTGGTTCATCCCCATGTGGTGGTTCATGTGGTGGCATCTCCACGTGGTTCATCTCCATGTGCTGGTTTATCCCCATCTGGTGGCATCTCCATCTGGTGGCATCTCCACATGGTGGTTCATCTCCATGTGGTGGCATCTCCATGTTGTGAGATCTCCATCTGGTGGCATCTCCATGTGCTGGTTCATCTCCTGTGGTGGCATCTCCACGTGGTTCATCTCCATGTGCTGGTTCATCTCCATGTGGTGGTTCATGTGCTGGTTCATCCCCATCTGGTGGCATCTCCATCTGGTGGCATCTCCACGTGGTGGTTCATCCCCACGTGGTGGTTCATCCCCACGTGGTTCATCTCCCTTCCTACCCTCCCCAGGGCCGTTGCTGCTGAGGGACAAGGGGGACCCTGGGGACACCCTCCTGGTGGTGGCTCAGCCCTGTCCTCACCTCCCCCGTGCCACTCTGGGACATGGGGACAACAGGGACATGGGACGTCCCCATGGAGGTGGTTGGGTTCCATCCTTCCCTATGGCAGAGGTGCCATCATGGGCAAGGGGGACACCAGGGACATGGGAATGTCCCCACAGTGGTGACTCATGGGACATGGTGGGACACAGGGGACATGGGGATGTCCACATGGTGGTGGCCCTGGGGACATCTCTGTGGTGGTGGCCCTGGGGACACAGGGATGTCCCCACCCTGGTTGCTCATGGGACATGGGGGAGACAGGGGACATGGGGATGTCCACATGGTGGTGGCCCTGGGGACATCTCTGTGGTGGTGGCCCTGGGGACACAGGGATGTCCCCACCCTGGTTGCTCATGGGACATGGGGGAGACAGGGGACATGGGGATGTCCACATGGTGGTGGCCCTGGGGACACAGGGATGTCCCCACAGTGGTGGCTCATGGGACATGATGGGACACAGGAGACATGGAGACATCCCGTGGTGGTGGCTCTGGGGACACAGTGATGTCCCCACGGTGGTGGCTTGTGGGACATGGGGGACACTGGGGACAGAGGGATGTCCACATGGTGGTGGCCCTGGGGACACAGAGTTGTCTTCATTTTTTCTTTTCCCAAGTTTTAGGGATGTCCCCACCCTGGTGGCTCAGGGGGGCCCCAGGGACGTCCTTGCCCATCTCCATCCCCCCTTCCCGTAGCGACGTCGTTACGAGACCTACGTCCAAGTGCTGGAAACCTGGTTGAACTCGGGTGCCCAAGACCTGGCCAGGTGGGAAGCCCAGGTGGGACCCTCGGTGACCCCCCCGGACCCCCCCACTTTGACCAAAGCCCATTCCAGCCCCTCCCTCGTCCCCGACCCCCCCAACAACGTCCCCAACGTCCGCGTCAAGAGGAACATCTCGGAGCGTCGGACCGTCCGGAAAACCGTCCCCAAACGCAACAAGAACCTGCTCTGAGGGACACGGGGACACCAAGGGAGGGGG